TAAAGAAAATATTTTTGCTCAACAAAAACAGTCTACAAGTTCAAAAGAAGTGGGGAGTTGCTACAAGACTTTTGAACAATGCAAATGTAAACAAAAAATAGTCTTTGTTTTTGAAAGAAATCATTGCTACCATTCATGAAGAGAATTGAGTCAAATTGCTTTTCAGGAGAACTGAAAACTTTGAAATTCCACTGTCAACTGTCAAAACTGGATCAGAGGGGTTTTTTTACTATATGATGTTGAAGTCACTAAAAGATAATTAAAATTTTCATAACCAAGGCTGAAGAACACTAAAAAGTGATTTAGTATTAATTAAAATAATAATCCCTCTTTTGAAACAACAGTCTCATTTGTATATAACGTGTTTTATAATTTACATTTTTGGTAGGTGGTTTCTGATTACACGAATAAATCTGTCTCAGAAGACGATGAAAAATTCAGATTTTCCAAGGCAAATTACATGCATAAACACTAGGGAAAACATTATAATTCCACAATTCTTAGGACAACACGACACAGATGACAAGGCATAAAAAAGAAACATGAAACAGCCTCCAGCTAGGACAGTCATGATACCCAGCAAGTTCATAGAAAATTGTACCAAAAAAGGGCACTTGGAGAAGCAGAAATTCTAGTCAGACCACCAGAGCCCTTGTAACTACACTGAATTATTCAGAACTAACCTGCAGTTCCAAAGTACTGCAGCCCTTCCAGTCCCCTCTGTCCCTAGTGTCTGGTGCCAGAGGACATGAACAATCTCAACATGAGCAGCCCACAGCTGATTCCAGGCCCAAGCACCACAAAACAGGAAATTTCAGGACTTCTGCTCTGAAATCAGATTTCTAGCTTTTCAAAAACTGACTGACTTGCTTTAAATGACTAGGTAGTAAAACTGAACGAAAAATGTTTATCTCCTGAAGCAAAGCAAGCAACTTGCCGTTCAGTAGGAATCATGCACACTTAAGATACTTTGCTGCACTTCAGCAAAGCACACCGTCTAGATCAATTATATGCTAATTAGAACTTGTCAACGTACTGGGCACTTTCTTAATTAGAAATGTTATTTATTAAGATCTGTCTTGACAGATGTTTTCATGCAGTAAGTACTTTAGTACGTAGAGTATCTCACGTTGCAAATTAAAGATTGGAATATATGATTTATGTCTCATTTGTGAAAATTGGACTCATTCTGGTAGGTACACACTCTGCATCGCTGGGTGCCATCTGACTGAATGATCTCTGGGCTCAATATGCAGGCATCTTTATTTTTATTCTCTTGAAAAAATTGACTACAACTGCACCTACACTGAAAATATCATTCCAATTGCTTCTGCTAAAGCTATATTGTTAACCACTATTAATATCCTCAATTCTAAGAAAAATATCCAGATTTTACTGCCTCTGGTATAGTTGATTATTCCAATAACCTGGTGAGTGAGAACAAGAAAGGGTAAAAGACACAAACAACAAGGTTTGGTTGCTAATGAAACTATTGCAATATGATTTTTTAAAAAACTACAGAAGAAACAGTTACTTATTCTAAGAAATGACTCACTGATTTCTGTGAGCTAACAGAGTAGCAGCAGGAGAAATCAATCCAACTCATTTTGTGCTTCTGCGTGGAATTTACTGGAATGCAAGTTTGCAGAGCCACACTTTTCAAACACATAATCAATGTCCAAACAGTGACCCAGCCCAGTTTCTGGAGAGATATTTATTTCTCAGTAAGATCATCATTAAAGAACTTCTCTGAAAGAAAGCTGTTAACCTAGTAGCTAAGTAACATTAACCAGCATTTCTTATGAACAGAAGCTCTTTTATTACTTAAAAGTAATAAAATACATATACAATATGCAGAGAAAAATTTATTACTGTATTTTAGAGACAAATGTAGGAAGGCAGAATATACTTTCAAAATTTATTTTAAAGAATGATGAAGCCACAGTAAAAGAAGCTTCAAGTCCCCAGAGCACAGAATTACAGAATTTGATCCATCAATATACATGTACTAGTTTCTGCAAACGCATATACATTTAATTTTAAGCATATGGAGACTTTTCAAGAACTTCCATGCACAATTTTTTACTTCATTGAAAAACAAGTGTTCACGTATTTTTCCAGTTCTTCAAGATAAGATTTTTAAAGTGCTCTATTGGCAATATGTTAGTTTCCTGAAAAATGAACCCAACCTTTTCACCAGCTGTTTTTTCATTCTGTTTCAGTTTTCCAAGAAAACCATTAGCAGGAAAAGGAAACAGTAAGTATAATTCTAATCAGGGAACCAGAAATTAGCATCGCACAACAAAGAAGTTGCAACTCTAATAAGCTGTATTTTGGCTTTAATGACAGCCTTAGGGCATCCATGTGTGTACATGTAATAAATCACCCCATTGAAAAGATAATTACTGAGGAGGAAAAATGCTTTCTTGATAGCAATTACACTAAACTGTTGGAATTAGCATACCCACAGATGGTTCTTTGTTGTCTGCATACACATTAGAGAGAAGAATGTTTCATTGCATTAGTTCACTCACTTGAAAAAAATCAGGATCTCGTTATTAATCACACTAATACTACATAGGCTTTGTAAACTAAGGAGGCTTTTGATTGCAAAAACAATGTAGAAGAAAAAGTTAATTGGGCTTTTAGGTCTGAGTTTTCAAATGCAGTGAAAGCTGGACGCTATCTAGGTGAAAGCAATCTCTTCTAGCTGCAGGCAGGGATTCAGAAATATATCCCCATTACTATTTGGTCTGGCAATGCTGGCCCTTTCTGAGCACAGACACAGTATGCACACCCCTACAGCAAAGGCTAATCTAATTAAAATGTATAGTTGCATATGGACATGCTGTGCCACTCCTTTCCAATTTAATTGGAAGGGTTTACAAGAGTATGAATACTCCCCTGCCAGCAGCTTAGTTTTCTCTTCAACCTATTGCTGTTGCTTTGCTTCATGTTTGTGATACGGGCAGCTGTTTCTTCATTAGCCCTCTTCTCTTCTAGAAAAGCACGCCTGGTTTGGATAAACACAAACAGGACACTTTTGCCTGACCCGCTGAGAAGCACATGCTAACGACCATTTCAGGACTGAAACACAGCCATTCGCAGCTTTACACATATGAAACTAGCTTTCCTATAGGAAGCTAGCTTTCCTGAGGACTGTTCATAGAGAGGTCAAAATCCTGACCTCTGAAAGAAAACTATAATCTTGTTACTTAGTTCACAGAACCAAACTCCATTCTTCCTTTATTTCATGGGTATTCCTTCCTCCAGTTCCTTCCTTACTTGTACCTCCTTCTTGGAGTGTGTTGGTGAGTAAATCACAGAGAAGCCACCCAAGCTTTGATAAGGCAATAAGGGGAACGTGCAGCAGTCATCACCTCTTTCCTCTCCAGAAGTTTAAGAGCTTGTTCTCATCCTCAATTCATCAACAGTCTACTTCCTGGCGGAATAACCCGACTCCCATTGTCTGATCAAACTCTAGATTATAAGTTTCCATCAACTATAAGTTATATTTAGAGTCTACAGCTTGTTCTCTTCTGCGATAATGACAGCAGTTATAAAACAAACTATTTAAAGCCTCATATTTCTTGCAGTATTAGTTATGTAGTACAACGATGTGTCAGAGGAAAAGCTATCAAAACCCAGTACAACAAACAATGACTAGCCTTCCAGGTACGAATCTATTTCTGCACACCGCCATGGCAGGACTTAGCTCCCTCTCTTGCCCAGAAACATATGTTCTCCCTCTCTATCAGCCTGCCATTGCTCAGTGAAACAACTTCCTGGCCTACTTCTGGCAACCTTCACAAGCACCAGACCATTTTTCAACCATCTGTGGCCCCTGATTAAGGATCTCAGTTTCTATGAAATAAGGTTTGTCAACACTTCGTTACAACCTCTTAAAACAAACTGAATACCCTACTTGCCTTTAAATGCCTGGTGGGTTGCTGCTCTATAGAAAACCATTGTGTATGCAGTGGGGACGATGCACAATTAAAAAGCTCCTATTTCTCCTGGACCATGATAGTACTAACGCCTCATGGCATCTTCCAGACACTTTCTGTGTTCAAAGTCAGAAATCCCCTCTTGCAAACTCTGAAGACCTCATAACTAACAAGCGGAATGAGGCAATCTCTTTTGAAACGGCTGGAAACATCTTGCTGAAATACATACAGCACCCATACATTTCATTTGAGACGTTAAAAGGTGGCCCATGTATGCCTTACACTCGCCTCCTTTCCCTTTTCACTTTGTAGTTATCATTATTAAGTTGCTATCAACATCTCCCCATCCCTTTTAAATTTATTAAGAGGACTATACAGTCTGTTGCTGCAGATCAGGGAACTCTTAAGATGCAATTTGCAGCTCTCCTCCATTTAATTTTTTACTTTTTTGACCCAACTCTTTTTTTTTTTCTTTTTACAGTCCTCCAAATGCACATACCTTGCAAGCTGGTAAACCACTAGATAGAGAACTGAGCAGCAGATAGGGTCAAGTAGCTATACTGATACGTAGGAGCTCAAACCTCCCCCAGCAGTGGTAACAGTGGAATACTTGTGTTTAGTGCTCTAAAAACCCTATTATTTTTGGTTGGTAAAATAATTTCTTTCTGTGGCTGGCTGCTGCACATGCAGTTAAACGAAATTATCTCCAAAGTGCCTACATATATCCTTTAAACACCAATTACTCATTAATCTTCTCTCCACCACCACTACTATTTGTTGGGACCTCTCTTACCCTTGCAGTGTCAACAATGACTAGCAAGCCCGACCACATGTATATGAATACACAAAAGGTTTAAAAAGTTTTTTTGCTCTGGAGCAATAGAACACTTTATGGAGTTGTAAGTATCTGAGGAGAGTTAAAAGTAGGCTCAACATTTTTTCCCAAATACAAATCAAGGGATCAGATCCATCCATCTAATTGTAAATATCAAAGAACGTGTCGCAGAAAACTGGACTCAAAATAAACACAATCAACTGTAAGCACGATTGTACCTTGACAAAATGTAGCATTGATCCTCTTGTAGCCTTGTGGGCATTCCATCATAGGACTGTAACCATGGTAAGCTGAAGAAAAAAATTACCTCAGTTAAATACTGCTGATTTATATATTTATTTAGAGAGCTTGACAACCTAATTATTATGTAACTATATATCAAAAAAAAACCACGATAAGTTTTTAAAATATATGTTTGCCGGTTAGCTCAGTCGGTTAGAGCTTGGTGCTGAGAACACCAAGGCCACAGGTTCGATCCCCGCTCGGTCCCCATGTGTTGCCTGATCTAGTTGAGAGGATCTAGTTGAGAGGCATCCCTGCCTTGACAGGGAGGTTGGATTAAATGATCTCTAAGGTCCCTTGCAGCCTAGGCCATTCTATGATTCTATGGTTAAGCATAAAATGTCAAGAAATTAAAATTAAAGGTTTTGCAAGTAACCTTAATTCCATCTCTTTCCACCTGTATATAACTTAAGTCCCCAGTTATCCAGTCAAATCTACAGTTTTTCAAAAATATAAATCTTTTAAATCAGGACATTATCTTCCATCCCAGTTTTTCTCAAATATTCAAATAATTACTTTCCCAAACTAGCTACAAATACCATGTTGGGAAAAGACTAAGTTGAAGATTCATGATGGAAACTCAATGGTTTTAAAACCGAAAATAGCTTTAGAAAGCAGAGGTATCTTCAATGTTAAGAAAATTACTGGGTTCCATTTCTCCCGCCACGCTGAATTAAAAAACATTTGAAATACAGAGGAAATACATGCAAATAAACTTTTAAAACAAGGCAGAAAGAAGCAAAAGGCACATTTGAGACTAACAAAGTTTGGAATTCTAGAAGTCTGTCACTTATTGGCTGATCAGTGTAAACTGTCAAGGGCACACCACCACCACAAAATACAGACTGAATCCAACTTTGCCAAAATAAAAAGTGTTCAGTTAACTAGTTTTTTATTTCTATTTATTGTTTCTTTCCTCCACTTAAGGTTGCCTTTGAGACTACAGGAAACTGTTTATTGATTCTTAAATTGCTGTAACATCATAAATGAGAGCAGTAACTTCTTTGTATAGTTATGCATTAAAAGTTAATCTCTTGGCAAAGCCCAGTACTTTAATAACATATAGGACTAAATGTTTGGCACTATGATCACCATAAGTGCCTTTAATAAGAGTCAAGAGAGTTTTTCATAATTTTAATGCTGAAACAGAGATACCTTACAGAATTGGGAAGCTTCAAATAGAAAGTTAAATCACTGTCCTAAAATTAGGCAATAACCTCACTACGTGCTGAATGAAAAACTGGACATGAGCCAGCAACATGCACTCACAGCCCAGAAAGCCAACCGTACCCTGGGCTGTATCAAGAGAAGGGTGGCCAGCAGATCAAGGGAGGTGATTCTCCCTCTCTGCTCCTCTCTCAGGAGACCCCATCTGCAGTGCTGTGTCCAGCTCTAGGGTCCCCAGCTTAAGACAAGGACCTGTTAGAGTGGGTCCAGAGAAGGGCCATGAAGATTGAGCACCTCCTCCAGGTGGACAGGCTGAGAGATTTGGGGCTCTTCAGCCCAGATAAAAGAAGGCTCCCAGGAGACCTTATTGTGGCCTTTCAATACTTAAAAGGGTCCTGTAAAAAAGATGGGGGCAAACTTCTTAGCAGGGCCTGTTGCAACAGAAGAAGGGGCAATGGTTTTAAACTAAGGAGAGTAGATTTAAACTAGATATAAGGAAGAAATCTTTTACAATGAAGGTGATGAAACACCGGCACAGGTTGCCCAGAGACGTGGTAGAAGCCCCATCCCTGGAGACCTTCAAGGTCAGGCTTGATGGGGCTCTGAGCAATCTGATCTGGTTGAAGATGTCCCTGCTCACTGCAGGGGGGTTGGACTAGATGACCTTCAGAGGTCCCTGTTATCCGAAAGCATTCTATGATTCTACATTTGGTCAGATCTTTTGGGATTTTTTTTTAGAACT